ATAAAAACATAATTTATTCGTTGAGATAGCTTCTGTTTTGTGTCAAATTATTTCGTATTTAGTTCGACTAAAAAGTTGTTGTCTTTTTCAAGTTGTTAAAATTTTTATCGTTGAATAATAAGGCTAAATTTAAAGTTAAACAAAAATATCTTTCAGTTACAGCTCAGTTTCTTAAACGTATTTAATAAATTGAAGTAGAATTGAAATCTATTGTTGTGAATCTAGATTTATTATACCTGGAGCAAACTGCTGAATATATGGCTATGGTAGAATATAAGGTAATGTTATAGCATGGCAATATCTGCTACTACCACAGATTCTTCTACCACAGATGATTCTTAATAAATCTTTACCTTGGGATACGAATCTTTTGTAATAATACTTAATATTTGAGAATCATTACAAAAGATTCGTATCCCAAAATAAAGATATATAAAGAATCATTACAAAAGAGTCGTATCCCAAGATTTTAAGAAAACAAACCACTAAGAATAGTGTTTATATATGTGAAAAGCATTTTGAAAGTTCAGACATACACACCTATAAGTGCTCTTAATAGTTGTTGATATTTATTGAGTCTGGGTTACATTACATATAATAATTTTATAATGAAATGAAATAGAAAATTTTTCGCTTGTAAAAAAACATGTTGTTAGTAAACTATTTTCAATTGATTACATCAATGAAAGATTTGATGATGATTTTAGTCCTACAAATGAAGTAGTCTATTTCAGATCTCCAAAATGTAATATTCTACAAATTCAATCAGCCATTTGTAAAGATTGCAACTTATTAACTATAAGTAGTAATAAAAGCATTAATGCAAAGATGAAAATTTTAAAGACTCCAGCTAGCATTAAAGCTCCTGATACACTGCACCCAAAAAGTTACTTTTTACCCTCCAAAATCAAAGATCTGAAAATAAATATATAAAAAAGCGAGTTGTTCAACTTAGAAAAGCCATTGAAAAAAGTGCAGCATCAGTTGGAGAAAACACCCACCAGTATCTTCAGAAAATTATCCACAGTTTCTCAGAGAAAGTTACTTTAAATAGAGAAATTTCATCTTTTATGAAACTATTCCTTACAGAGCAGTTGAAGTATTTAACAGAACATCCATCTCAAACAAGATAGCATCTAATTGTAATAAAGTATTTTTTAGCTCTGCAAGCAAAGTCTCAAGCTGCATATGATCTTCTGCATTTACAAAAAGATGGAAAAGGTGTACTTGTTTTGCCTTCTCAGCGTACTTTGAGAGACTATAGAAACTATATCATACCTCAAAGGGGTTTTAATAGTCAATATGTTCAGGAGCTTACCAAATTAGTTTCAAACTTTTCAGCACTTGAAAGATATATTGTACTTTTTTTTGATGAGATAAAAATTCAAAATGATCGTGTGGGACAAGCACACATGTGATTTAATTGGTATTGTTGATCATGGCGATGATGATCTTACCCAAGCAACTTTTGAAAAAATAAACACTTTAGCTTTACATATCTTAGTTTTTTCATTAGAAGTGTAATGAATCCATGATCTTACTCTTTTGCAAGTTTTGGTACTGATTGTGTTATGTCATTCCAGATTTTTCCATTATTTTGGCGGGCTGTTGCAATATTAGAATAAACATGTTAATTAAAAGTTATTGCTGTGACTTGTGATGGAGCATCACCTAATCATGCATTTTTTAAAATGCATATGAATAATGAAAATAAAGCAAATAGTATAACATACCGCACAAAAAAGTATTTATGCTGGCGATGAACGGTATATATGGTTTTTTTCCGACCCTTCTCATTTTACTAAAACATCAAGGAACTGTTTGAGCAACTCTGGGTCTAACCGTTGTTCAAAATATATGTAAAATAATGGAAAATATTGAAAACATTGCTTGAATATGGACCAGATGAAGCTTCTGCGACAGCATATTTCTGCCTGTTAATCGATAATTTTTTTGATTGCTGCAATGTTACAAAAAAAGAGTACATCATAAAGCGTAAAGTATTTCTGAAACCTTATACTGATAGTTCAGATAAAAGATTTCACTTGCTAAAAAATAATTTTTTTAAATACTTTGTTGACTGGAGGGAGAGCATTTAAAAAAGGCCATAAAAATTCTCTCAAAAAGAGCTCAATAAAATGTTCATATCAAATCAAACATTTGAAGGTTCATCTAGAACTGTAAACTCTTAAGTTGAATGTGTTCAGCACTTATTAGGCAAAGGGTTTTTTTATGTATTAACTGAAGTATTTTGCCAAGATGTGCTAGAAAACTACTTTGGTAAACAGCGAACTATAGGTTGTAGTAGAGATAATCCTAACCTTAAAGACACTGGCTACAATTATAATTGTATTATAAAATCTAAATCTGTGATCCCTTTGTGGAAATGTTAGACAGCATACAAAAGAATGGATTATTGATGATACACCAGTTCCCAAGAAACTTAGAAAAAGGAATTAACTTTAAACCTTTTCTTTTGTAAAACCTTTTGTAAAACCTTTTTTTAAGTTGAACTTTTTATTTTTATAGATTATTAGTGGATATTGTCTCCTCTATAATCACTTTAGTAAAATCCAAAAAAAGAGTTTTCCTAATTTTTATATTAGTTTATTTAAAAATCAAACCTTTTTTTTTTTTATTTTGCCAAAACCTAAATTTTATTACAACAATAATTACTAAAAGTCTAGACTTTAAAATATTGAAAAATAACCTACATTATAATAGGAGGGGTCCAAAATTCTATATTTCTTGTTTAACCAGTTGTTCATATTTTTTTTTTTTTTTTTTTTGAGAAAAGTTCAAAAAACAATTCAGTTTTTTCTAATTTTTTATGGTTAACCTTCTACTTCTATTTTAAAAATTTAAAGATATAAAAAATAAAAGTCTTTGCAAAAGTTTCTTTGCGTAAAAAAGTTACGCAACTTTTCTTTCAAATTTATGCTATTCAAATTTTGATTGGATAAATTTGATTTTTAATTGTTGCGTTTTATAAAAAAAAAGTTTTATGTGAAGTCTATATCTAAAAAAAAAACGTTTTAAATAAGTAAAACGACAGATTGCTTCAAAAAAAAAAGTTTTATCTGAAGTCTCTTTTTTGAAGTCTCTTTTTTGAAGTCTTTTTTTCTTTCACTTTTCTTTAATGAAGTCAAGAATAAATCTTCTTTTAAAGTTCTAGTCAGTAGAAGTTCAGTTAAATTCTAGGCTGTTTATCATTAGGCTTAACAGCTCTAATGATAAACAGCCTAAAGGAATACCGCTACCTAAAAGGCGTTATAAAAAACAAACTGGGTGATCAAATTTTGAAATTTTCTGCTTTACTATAAAATGCAGTGAATAGCTAGTTAAAAAAAATCTAGAAGCAGTTAATAAAAATACCTCAAAGAGATTGAATGGTTGTATCGTTCTTGCTAGAGTATTTTGGCAAAAGTTAGCCTCAGAACTTCAAAAAAGAGAAAAGTATTATGTGTTTGGTTGATGATGGAATATGATTAGTATTAACTTTCTAATTAAGTTGTTGCAGTTGGAAAGCTTTGGAAAAAAAACATTTAATTTGAACAGTAGATGTATACTAAATTATTTAAATGAAGGTTCGCGTAGTTTAAAAATATTTTGGAAAATTATTGTCTAATTATTTGTCCAAAAAGTTGAAACTATGGAATACAGTTGAAACTAGCTACAAAAACAAATGGATAACAATGGAAGAGCAGTTAACTTTACATCAGGTGTGCAAGGTGAGTTCTATTTTAGTTTGAATAAAGTTACAAGGCAGCCCATTTAGCTGTGAACTAGACATTATTAAAGATATGTTAAAATGAAAAAAAAGTTCGAAAAATGAGGTTCTTTATTTTAGGGATACAATGTAGGTCATTGTCGCGGAGATCTATTCTGTTTATCAAAGTCTATTTTGTTTATCAAAGTATGTCTATCAAAGAACGCGCTCATAACCTAGATGTTCTACATGGAAAGTTCCTGCAGCAATCTCTATCTTTTTATAGTTATTTTCCATTTTCAATAGTAAATAACAAACTGTATGAATTATTTTCATATATAATGCTTGAGTTTTTTGTGACTTATTAATCAGAAGGTAAATTATATACTAAATTTAATTATTGATAAACTAAACAGAAAAAGATTTTTACTTTTCTACTTTTCTTATGTTTAATGATAATAATAATTTCATCTATTTTTAACAATGCCTTTTTTTGTCAATATATTAACTTTTATTAAAATTGAAGTAGAAGGCTAAATAATTAAAATGAAAAAAAAAATGATTATGATTTTCAGAATCAACATGAAAAACTAATGAAGAAAAACTGGTTAAACTATAAAAAATCTAAAAAAAGATGATTATGGACCCCCCTAATTATAATGTAATTAACAAAAACAACAACTGATTGAAATAAATCAAATGTTTGTTCTTAACCAATAATGTAAATATTTAATTTTTAGCTATGAAAATACCTGTTTGATAAGTATTAAACATTTGCGACTATAATACTATTGCTGGCAAAACATTTCCATCTCTGATAAATAGGGTTTTTCTTTACATCTGCATCGATTGATAATATTGCACTGATTAGAGGAAATATGATTGTTCAACTGAATTATCTTAGTCGGCGGACATGTACATGACGCACCCCCCCCCCCCCCCATAAATTCGGTAAATGCAACAATTTACGAAAGCGCTGATTTATTTATTTTGTAGAATGGAAATTTATAGAATCGAACGAAATATTTTTAAAAAAGTTTTATTCCGTATAAGAGTTAAGTTCTGTAAGATTATAACAAACATAAGCAAGTAAAATATATATAATATATATATATATATATATATATATATATATATATATATATATATATATATATATATATATATATATATATATATATATATATATATATATATATATATATATATATATATATATATATATATATATATATATATATATTGCATAATTTAAAAAATAAATATATAATACAAAAGTTTAAAAAATATGTTTAAAATAAAACATAATAGTGGCGAGCATTTGCCAAAATAATGCGCTTCACGCACAATTAATCTAATAAATTGTAAACAAAACAGTTCAGATATAAAACAGTTCAGATATAAAACAGTTTTAAAGCTAAACAAAAAACATAATAACATTAATTGTAACAAAGACAGCTCTAGGTAGGATCACACATCTTAAGTAAAGTGACTCAAAGAGGATATTTATCATGAATATGTTGCAAAAAAAGTATAAAAATCTGCCACAGATTCTCTCTTTTGAAACCATAGTATTCTCTGTATATGGCTTCATCAAGCCTGGACCATTTTAAATAACCCTGCAATCCACATACAAACTTTAACTTACGCTTGATTCTGCTCCAAAACAATTCAACATGGTTTGTTGTCGCGTGTGTCAAAGGATCTACAAAATTTGTGGTATGATTCACAGTAAGATGGTTATAACCTAAATTATTTAACGTATTGTAAGACGCCCATTGATCTGAATAAATTGTTGACCCGGGATTACAATTAACGGCACTAATGTCTCAGCAGTTCGATCAGGGACACGTCTTAAATAACCTTTTTTTGATGTTAAGTCATATGCGCCAAAATCCAATGTTTTTTCACAACGTGCCTAACATTATTTTTTCTTTTGAACATTAACGACTCGTCAATCTCAACTATATGACCAGGTCCACCTAACTGAACTGTATTGGTAAGATCAATAATTTTAAACGTAGTGACGTATCTAAAATATTGATACCACTGATCAGAAGTTTTAGCACACCCCAGTGAAAAATAAAACCGCGTCCCACATGGGTTCTATGTGGGTTCCGTGTGGGATTCATGGGATTTATATGGGACGGATTTTCCCATGTGGTATCCGTATGGAAATTTGCCACTTAAAACCCATATGGGTAAATCCCACATGGGTTACATGTGGTATTTACTCACATGGGATTTTCCCATGTGGTATCCGTATGGAATTTTGCCACTTTAAACCCAAATGGGTAATCCCACATGGGTTACATGTGGGAACCATATGGTATTTACCCACATGGGAAATCCCACGTTTGTTTCTTGTGGGATTTACATGGGATTTTATTTGAAGGCTGGAAACTAAAATAATCTTAAATGTTAAAAATAACAATACATTACTTTCGCGGTGAAGTTACATGCATCTTGTTTCAGCATAAAAATATCTAAAATTAATCTTACAAAATGGCAAGCAAGTATGTAAGTAATACAAATAATTTGTATCTCTCTTTATAGAATTAAGAGTTTTTGTGCAAATAAAAGTATTATTAAGATTATAATAGTTGTTTTTATATCAGTATATATAGTAAAAGAAATAAGTTTAAAGTTCACATAATTTCCCTTTTTCTTTAATAAAAATGAAGAAAAAAAAAGAAAGGGGAGAAATTCGGTAACTTTTTAGGATTAAAAACTCTTAATTTAAGATTTCATAAGGAACATTTGAACTACATTGAAGAACCTAAACAGGAGATTTACAGAAACATTTCAATTTTTAACCTGGATACCACTATTATTGGGAATAAAGACTCAAGTAATAAGAATTAAAGTAATATATATATATATATATATATATATATATATATATATATATATATATATATATATATATATATATATATATATATATATATATATATATATATATATATATATATATATATATGTGTGTGTGTGTGTGTGTGTGTGTTTGTGTATATATATATATATATATATATATATATATATATATATATATATATATATATATATATATATATATCGAAAATCACAAATTTAATAATTTTGTTTAGATGTGTTATATAATTTATACCACAATAAATTTTGATATGAAAAATAAGGTAGGATATGAGGACAACGATTAAAGAATAAATTTACTTGTGGAAATTTAGGTGTTTGTTGATTGATTTCAAAATATTATAACATTTGTGACGAAAAAGTAAAGATACTATTGCATCAAGTGTCTTTTGCACTTAATGTGTACATTATTGTAAAGTAGGTTCTTACATGTTTTGTTTTATTTTTTTGTTTAATGACTTTTCCTAATTGAGCACTTTTTCTCAAATTAGATTCTCATGAACGGATACAAACTCTTGTCAAGTTATCCATAATACATTAGTCATCGTAAGTAATAAACGAAGAACTAATTATGTGTGAAATAAATTCCAAGTTGAAGTCATTAATGACTTCAATTTGGCTCTTAATTAAAACTGCTCTTAATTAATAAAGCTTTTAATTACGATTGTTCTTATTATTTTAATCTATAATAACCGTATAATTTAGGTTGATTTAGGTTATTATTGATATTTTTTTTTATTAAAATTTATTTATAGTTATATTTGTAGATGAATATGTATACATATTTTTAGGAAATGCTTGAAGAAAGTAGTTTTTTCTAATATGGTAAAAACCTTAGCATTGAGCGAGCCAAGGCAATTTGCTTTGTTAATTGAATCGACAAAAGGCGTGTAAATCACAAAAGAACAAATAATATTTTTCACATTTATTTTTAATGTATTTATTAATAGCTATTATTTAAATAAAAATTCATTTTGCAACACGTTTTTTAATTTTGTAGAGTTTTGTTATAATACTTTATGGTAAATCCCATATTATTTGTGGAGAACATCGCATATATTTGATCCTAAATAGCATAAAGTAGCTAATACCAGATAAATTTAAGCCTCTCTGAAAGCTTATATAATTAATTTGGATGTTTCATTTATATGGTATTCGCTACTTTTATAGCATTTGAATTAGAATGTGTGGCATTTAAGATCTATAAAACATGTGGTATTTTCAACCTATAACCCGTGTGGGATTTACCATATATAACCCAGATACGCTGACCATCAGGTCAAGTTATTCTGCTACTGGTAACATGTAATCTAGTACAACTTGCTGCATGTTAACGTCAAGAAGGGCGTACGGTTGTAAAAGATTGCTATTACTCTTTCATAACGGCATTTATATGTCGCTATGGAGAGCAATCCAAACCATACAAATGTGGAAACAAGAATGTAAAAACTACAACAAAAAAACAAAACACATTGAACAAAATAATAATCCCCACATGGGTTACATATGGAAAAAACCCACGCGTATCCCATGTGCGCTTTTTCACTGGGACACACCGACTATAACACTAGCAGTTGTTACAGGGACCTCTGCGATCCATAAAAACAAATGGAGAATAACGGCTACAGTCAATGATGTAGAATTTTCAAAAAATCCACTTCGTATAGTTTTTGTTTGTTTACATTTACAACATCTCCATATATATTTATCCGAAAATAAAAAGTTGAAGCAAACGAATAACAAATAACGCTTTAAGTTTTAAAGACCTGAATAAAACTTAAAATATTTACTTTACAGCGGTCAAACTTTTGAATATTCATACATTATGAATATTCAAAAATACGAATGTTCACATTCACATACTTTCTGAGAATCCATTAATTGCTTATTTTGTAAAAATCTGATTAAATTTTCTTATTTAATAAGCGTTATAAAATGCTCTAAGAGCGACATTTCCAATGAAAATCTTTTAAAATTGCGCCAATTTCGGTGGAATTTTGCGCTTAATTGCGCCAATCATTTTCCACTCTGTTAAATAACCAAATTTAATAAAAGTTGAATTCGTAAATTGTCGTAATTACCGAATTTAGGGGGGGGAGGGTGCGTCGTGTACAAGTCCGCCATATATTTATTACTAGTTTATTCATTTTCCACAATCCACCTCTATCTCTAATATCTACAAGTTTCTCTTGAGTCTTTGAAGAAAATAAAATATTAACCCATTGTTCAGATATTGTGGAGGTTTTCGAATTATAGAGGTTCGAATTATAGAAAGTTAAACGTAAGAATTTGTGACGCGCATTTCACGGTGTTCTTCGCATTGAATCGAATTATGGAGTTTTTCGAATTAAGGAGATTCGAATTAGAGAGATTGTATTAAGACAAATAGCTGAAAAAAAAAACTAAAAAATTAACTTCAAAGCAAAGTAAATGTTAGATTTTATTTATATTTTGTACATGTCTGTTAATATATTAACTATGTTGTACCAAAACATTTTAAAGTCTTCCTCAGTCATTTTGTCGATGGTCTATCAATTTATGAAAACTTGATCCAACACTGTTTTTAACATACGACCAAATATTTGACAAATGTATTTATATAGCTTTTACTTCTTAAACTTACTAATGGTGTTTGGTTTATTTTTTAGATTTGTTCTTGTGCAAATTGCAGTTGCTCTTCAGTGTTGTTTGCGTTATACTAATGTAAAAATAAGTCATTTTTATTTTGAATATTATCAGATAGGATAATATCAATCATGATTATATTTTTTAGTTATAATTGTAAATTTTAAATCGGTTGATATCAAATCTATTGTAATACAAAATATACTAAAAAAAAAACTTGGACGCAAAGAAAAAAGAAAAACCGTACACCAAGGAATAATCCGCGCTTGCAGAGGCCAAAGTTTTTATTTCCAGGTCAAAAGTGTTTGGCGCTACTTGCAAACAAGGCCGGCGCGATAGGGGGTGTGGGGGGGTGTGACACCCCCATCAATGATTTTTAGTCGGCAAACTGGACCCTTAGTCGGCAAATTTTGTATGTACATACGCTGAGGCAGAATGGGTCTATAAAAAAAAACGCTTTGTGCAAAAGAAGGATTAGGAGGGGTGGCAAAAATAGTGGTTTAGTGTTTATTCACTTTATACTTTATACCTCTACTATATTATAGTATACTTAAAATACATACTATAATCGTATATTATAATTTTATTGTAGGGAAACGGGATGGATCTCTACCCTGTGTGCGACACAACATTCTAAAATATACAACATATAAAATTATGTGTTTTATATTTAGCAAACATAAAAAATATTTTTATACATAAGTTGTATATATAAAATATTTAGATTAAATATTAGATATTTATTAAACGCTTAATTAAATTATAAATGAATTTATCAAGTGAAACAATTTTAAATCTTTTTTTTTTTTTTTTTTTAAAGTTTTTTAAAAATTAAAAAAAAAAACCTTGAAGCAAAATAAATAAAATAAATTTATACTATTGTATATCCATTAATAAATTGGATATCCACTATGCAAAAAAACATTTAAAATTGCCCGAATTTAATTTATTTTTCCCATTATAGTGTTTGCAGTGCCGGATCTAAGGGAGGAGGGGTTAGGGCGGATTATAGCCCCGGGCCCCGTCAATTTAGGGGCCCCGAAAAATTTTAGAGGATCTTTTTTTTTTTTTAAGTCATTTTTAGGCTCTGGCCCATAAAAAGGCCTCCAAAAAAAAATAGCGCCGGGCCCCAAGAAGTTTTAATCCGCCACTAAGTGTTTGAATATTTAAACAATTATTACAAAGCCCTTTCAAAGCCCTTGAGCATTTAACAGGTCACTAATAATATTTAAAAAGTTTTTCAAAAGTGGAAAATAAAATAAAAATAACCTTGTAAAACTCTCTTTTTTTAAATTTTGTTTAAAAATATAATTTTCTTATCAGTAAAAACTGTTTTTTATTAATATTAGGAACCTGCTAAAAGTATAAGGGTTTTCAGGGGGGTCTAGAATAGTTACTAAAATATGGTAAAATATTTTTTTTACATTACACAAACACTAGAATGGAAAAAAAACTACTATTTATAGTCAAGGCCGGCGCGATAGGGGGGTGTGACACCCCCCCCCCCCCCACTAATGATTTTTAGTCGGCAAACTGGACCCTTAGTCGGCAAATTGGACCCTTAGTCGGCAAATTGGACCTAGTTAGTCGGCAAATGTGGACCCCCTTTCGATATAGGTTAGACAGTCGGCAAATGTCGTCATGACAGTCGGCAAATTTTGGAAAACGAGGACCTTTTTTTTTTTTTTTTTTTTAGTCGGCATAAGTTGTAATGGCACCCCCCCCCCCCCCCCCACGTGACACCTACTCGCGCCGGCCCTGTTTATAGTGCTACTTTTTTTTGTCAAAACACTAAAGTATATATACTTTTTAATTTTTTTATTATTGTACTAAAATTTACTTTAAGAATTTTATGTTTTAATTTATAAATATAGGTGTGTATTTACTTTTTTTATGTTTAGCTATGAATTTATGTTTAGCTCAAAAAATTTTATAATTTCATAAGAAATTTAATAGAATTAGTAGGGTAAACATTAATGGTGTCGAATACTATTGCAAATAAACTGTGAAGATAGAAAGTTGTTTTCATTGATTGTAGATGTATTGTTCTTATTTATATTTGTTTTAGGAACAGTATTTTATTTGTAGATTTTGTAGAGATGGTTTTTTGAAGTACTTGTTAAACCATTATCTAAATTATTTTTAGGAACAGCAAAATTTTTTCTTTCCATTACACAATTAATATTATACTTTATTTTAGTTAACTTTTTAAGCTCAGGAGAAACAAGGTCAGCATTGTAAGTTTGGTTTGTATTTTTGTAAAGCTATAGTTGAGGTTCCACATTGTATTTTTGTGAGACAGCCATTTTTGTAAAGCTATAGTTGAGGAAGTCAAATATTGATAAAGATTTTACACTTGACTTTAATAAAACTTTGTAACAATGTGACTCTAAAGGAACTTTTTTAACTTTTATTTTAGACTTTATATTTGAAGAAAAATTGCACCATTTGCTGTTACCTGTTTTTACCATTTTTCTATTTCTTATTTTTTCCAGGTAGAGCATTTAATCAACTTTGGGTTTGGTTTTTTTTTTTCAAATAGTTTGGCTATCAAATTTTTTCCTTCAAAGTTTATCTAATTAGAATTCGAATGTTTTCTCAGGTTTTATCATTTTTTAAACCGTTTCTATGCTTTCTTTTACTTTGTTGTGGGCCGGACAAATGTTAAATTCCCGGGCCGATTTTTAATTTCTTTATTGGTAACACTTAAGGTCCTTCCCTTTACAGTTTTCTTTGGTTTTCTTCCTTTATTTATTTTGAAGTAAATACATTCACATTTTTCTCAATTTCTAATCCAGGTTTTTAATTTAAGATTAGTAATTTAACCTTTTTCTATGTTTCTCATCATTGAATAACATCTGTAACACATCTTCTGTGGGTGCATCTTTGGGTCGTCCTTGTCGATTCGTATAAAAAAATGTAATTCTATTCTTATTACATGGTTTATTGAAAGTACACTACAGTTTCCAAGAAATTTCTCCACATATTCGACATAATTTTCTTACTTTTGTTATATGAGACTCAGTCATTTCTATATTTATTTTTAATCAAATAATAGGATTTGACGTACACTGTTTTTAAACTTAAAAAAAGTAACCCAAGTCTAATTTTTTTTAATATAAAGATAAACTCTTTTTGTTTTAAAATATATTAGGTTATAAAGCCTAAAAATTTTAATAAGCGCTTAATTATTCACTTTTAGTAGAGGGTTAGGACTATTGTAATTGTAATAAAAACAAAAACAGTAACAATAACTATTGTTATTGTATTAAATTAATTTAGAAACAATAACAATACTTGTGATTTACAACTATTGTAATAATGTAATGCAATAACAATAAATATTGTATTGCAA